GCCAAGCGGTAATCTGAGAATGTATTAAAGCCATAGCCACTCCAGTCGTAGAACTGTGTATCAGATATATTCCCCAGATCCTCGATGCGGAGGGATCTCCAGCCTCATGAACCCAGGGCTCCCTATAGTTTTCTGACTGTTGAGGAAATGTGAGAATTTGTTACACATTCTACAACTTTGTCTGGAAGAACAACTTCCATTAGTGACGCATCTCTCGCCGCGCTCAGAAGGCTCCCGCGTATCAGAGTCCGCTTCGTTTCGGAGGCTCTCCATATGCGCGGCGTAACTAATTAATGCAGTCTGAGATTAATAACATCCATACTTTATTTTCAGACAATATCCATCACATGCCATCACATGCTCAGAGCAGACTGCCAGCTGACTGCCCATTACCAGGGCATATAAATTGCCAGCATCTGTGTGTTTGATTAGATTTCTCTTATAGGGAATTTAAAGGGCATTTCTGACTTCTACGTATGTTGTGTGCGAAGAGCACAAAACTGGCAGAACAACGTCTTCTGTACTCTTATAGATATATTGTGACTCATTCACTGTTATTTTAAAACACATGCAACAAGATGATTTACCAGAAGTGAATGTTTGATGCGTGAAAGATTCACTGCTGGATAAATATACTCCTTGGTCAGTGCTGGGACAAAATCCCCCCCGTCCTGTTTTGCATCCTCTCCTGCTGAAGCTCCCAGGTGGCCATCTTGACTGCCTATCCCTCAGCCGGCCCCTGCCCTGCATAGGTTGCACGTCCTAGCCTTTTTGCACCCCACTCCTGTTGAAGCCCCCAAGGCAGCCACTTCATCTGCCTATCCTCAGCCCAATGCCCTGCATTGGTTGCAGGTTCTGCCTTTTTTTCACCCCTCTCCTGCTGAAGCCCCCAAGGCAGCCACTTCATCTGCCTATCCTCAGCCCAATGCCCTGCATTGGTTGCAGGTTCTGCCTTTTTTTCACCCCTCTCCTGCTGAACCCCCCAGACGGCCACCTCATCTGCCAATCCCTCAGCCAGCCCCTGCCCTGCATAGGTTGCAGGTATTGCCCTGTTTTGCACCCTTCTCCTGCTGAAGCCCCCAAGGCGGCCACCTCATCTGCCTATCCCTCAGCCCAATGCCCTGCATTGGTTGCAGGTTCTGCCTTTTTGCACCCCTCTCCTGCTGAAGCCCCCAAGGCGGCCACCTCATCTGCCTATCCCTCAGCCCAATGCCCTGCATTGGTTGCAGGTTCTGCCTTTTTGCACCCCTCTCCTGCTGAAGCCCCCAGGTGGCCATCTTTACTGTTTATCACTTAGCCTGGCCCAGCCCTTCATAGGGCTTCGCGTTCTGCCCTTTTTGCACCCCACTCCTGCTGAAGCCCCCAAGGTGGCCAGCGTGATTGCCTATCCCTCAGCCTGCCCCTGCCCTGCATAGGTTGCACGTTCTGCCCTTTTTGCACCCCCTCTCCTGCTGAAGCCCCCAAGGTGGCCATCGTGATTGCCTATTACTCTGCCCCGCATAGTCCTTCACGTTGTGCCCTTTTTGCCCCCCATTCTTGCTAAAACCCCCAAGTTGGCCTCCTCTTCTGCCTATCCCTCAGCCAGCCCCTGCCCTTGTCTGTCTCTGATATGTACAAACAACGAAAAAGCCACTCACACTCCAATTCAATGTCCATTCAACTCGTTTATTCGCTGAAGTGGTATAACATCTTAATACAATGTTTTGGAAACCCAGCGGTTCCTTCATCAGGCTACATGTTTCATTTGCATGGACAATATTGAACATGTATTCATTTGTAAACATGTTCATTCATTTCACTAAACATGTTAATTCATGTAAACATGTTCATTCATTTCAAATGAACATGTTTCATTGGTTGAATGGACATCGAATTGGAGTGTGAGGGGCCTTTTCGTTGTTTGTACATTGTCTGCAGAGGCATCTGCTGCTACTCTGGCACCCGCCCTGTATATTGGGCTATTTACCGGTAAGGAGTGCGATGGGATCAATTGGATTTTCAATTGTCTCTGATATGTGGCCCTTTCTGTCATAAATTGCCCTAAAAGTTTTAAAAAGAGACTAGAATATATGTTCTTTTAATGACTTACATCTTGGGTGGGAACATATTGAAATGGCCATAACTTGGAGGTCTATTTATAAGCAATTTGCACAGCCATTCTCTCGGTGAATCTAAGTAAACATTTATTCTGTGTGAATAGAGGCAAAAATGAACATTCTTAGTATATTTTCTATTCAGGTCAAATGTATTGTAATGCTAAATAATGGAATAGAACGGAATGGAAATAATACTTCTTTCCTATGCTCCTCAGTTCCATCTACTGGCCATAATGGTGTATTACATTACTGAGGAACTGCTTCCTCTTGCCTGCAGCAGACTGATCACTGGGGGAGGGGAGACTGAAGAAATGCTTCCTCCTGCCTGCAGCAGTCTGATCACTGGGGGAGGGGAGACTGAAGAAATGCTTCCTCCTGCCTGCAGCAGACTGATCACTGGGGGAGGGGAGACTGAAGAAATGCTTCCTCCTGCCTGCAGCAGACTGATCACTGGGTGATGGGATACTGAAGAAATGCTTCCTCCTACCTGCAGCAGACTGATGACATCATCTCTCCTTAGGCAAAGTCCCTGAATGTATACCAGGGACGGCTTTTTAATGATGAAAGGTGGAGCTTTCTGGAAAAATGATACTGTTGCTGTATATTGAGTCATGTCAGGGATTTATTCTTCTACAGTTGTACTGACAGATCCAATTAAGTGTTTCTTAATGGATATAAAACTTTATTGACAGATTCACAGATGCTGACTTTGACATTGCTCGAAGAAACACAGCCAAGGGAACCCATTTAGCAAACACATAACACGTATGATATCACAGCAGAATATGTCCTGCGGGCAGATTTATGTGTAACAAGCTAATACATGTGTCTCTGGGAGTTATTTTAAGACATTGGCAAGCTTGGCATGAGTAAGGCGGCATCGGTGGCACATGCCAGGGTGGTGGCGGTCTTTACCCTTGTGGCCCCGACCGATCATTTCGGAGCTTTCTCGATACATAGTTGCAATTCCAATTCCTTTAAAGGAAGAACTTTAAATGATTCAGGAAGCCGGGCAGCCCAAGTCCGGCAGTGTGAATCAAACATTCCTGGACTCCTGGCTGATCTCATTCACCCAGCCTGGGTGTTCCCTGCTGAGCATAGCATGAAGAAGAAGAAAAGAGACCACCTGATTGGCTGCAAAGTTTTCCTGGGGCCAGGGATTGGCTGGCAGAGTTTTCCAGGGAGTTATCAGGTCTTTGTTATAGTGAGAAGCAGAGTGTTGAGCTGCAGTAGTGGAGCTGAGCAGGAGGAGGACAAGGTACACGAGCAAAACACTTCCCCCTCAGTGCCAGAGATGGAGCTGAGCACAGGCGTCCATAAGGTGAGCTCTGCCCTTCGCTTCCTATCCTTCAGGGTTAAAGGAGAACTCTAGTCTGAATGAGAAGCTGTATATTATGATCATTGTGTGTCCTTCCTTTTTCTGGTGATAATATTTCTGGTGATAATATGCAAATTATTTTATCTGACCTCCGACACCCTGACAAACCTCTAGCCAAAGGTAGTTCAGATTCAAGTTTGCCAGCGTCAGGTTTCCTTAATGGTTGTTTAAATTCTTACTGAGTTTCAAGTTCACTTGGCAAACCTGCGGAGAGACGTATTCACTAAAAGCCGCAATGGCTCTAGTTGTCTATGCGAAAACCTGCCGTGCACCTGTATACTAATATCCACCAACGTAAGGACTAATGCTGGCCAATCGCTGGTCAAATTTCAGCCAAGCAGTGAGTGGCCCCGATTTTTTTTCAATTGACTTTTGTCAAAGGAGACGGGTCAAAAATTCTCAATTGAATAGTGATCGCAGCCAATCGGCAGCATTGTTTGGGTAGTCTGACAGCGGCGGGCATCGGCTGTCAGAATACAATAGTCAGAGAGGGGTAGATTCTCCCATCTACACTTGGATATCAAGCGTTAAGTGTGTGGTCAGCTCCAGCGATGTGATTGTAAGCTCTTGCTACTGAGAGATTTGAGCACTTGCTGGCAGTTCATTAAAGTGACATAAAACTCAGGAGATAAATCTTAAAAATCCATTCCAGTCCCTTAATTCTGATCTGACTCCTCACCATCAGTCTAGGATCCTTTGCTGAGACGGAGTGAGGGCTGCCAGGTGAAAGGGACCTATCTATGTATAATGACTGCGCTCCCTGGAATGTATCCTTTATATACCTTCTTATTCTCGAAACATTGTCTGGAAATTTACATCAAATTTCCTTGATTCTATGTTGTCGATACCTCAAAAGTCCTATATATATATATATATGTATAGGACTTATAAGCCTATATATATGTATAGTCCTCATTTTATAAACTGTTATACTAAATGTAACAACCCTCCATACTACTTAAAGTGACACTAAACTCGAAATAAATCTTCAAAATACATACAAGTCCTTGAATTCTGAACAACAATGTATCTTATTTGTGTATCACTCGGCTGTAGATCCTCCAATCATCTCTGACACTGTCCTTCCTCCTGGAGGGGGGCTACGTCTGTTCCTCATGGTCCCTGTGTGGGTTGTAAAGTAGTCACCGCTCCAAGCTCGCTCCCGGGATGGACTACAGTCTCATGTTTAGTGTAATTATTTCTATTGAGATTGTAGTCTATCCTGGGAGTGAGCTTGAAGCGGTGACTACTTTACAACACACACAGGGACCATGGGGAACAGACGTAGCCCCCCTCCAGAAGGAAGGACAGTGTCAGCACCAATTCAGAGATGATTGGAGGATCTACAGCCGAGGGATACACAAATAAGAGACATTGTTGTTCATAGTTCAGGGACTCGAATTAATTTTTAAGATTTAACTTATGTGTTTTGTGTCACTTTAAGTAGTATGGAGGGTTGTTACATTTAGTAGGACACTACATCCCCAAGAGCTTTATAAAATGAGGACTATACATATAAAAATGGGACTTTTGAGGCATCGACAACATAGAATGAAGGAATTCTTTGATGTAACTTTCCAGACAATGTTTAGAGAATAGATACATAACAAGGTATAAAAAGGATACATTCCAGTGAGTGCTGTCATTATACATACCGTGTTTCCCCGAAAATAAGGCACTGTCTTATATTTTTTTTTGGCTCACAAAAACACACTGGGTCTTATTTTCGGAGTAGGTCTTATTTTTAGGGTAGGTCTTATTTTTAGGGTAGGTCTTATTTTTAGGGTAGGTCTTATTTTTAGGGTAGGTCTTATTTTTGGGGTAGGTCTTATTTTCGGGGTAGGTCTCAGTTATTCTTCTTTTTTATAATGTGACGCAATCCACACTTATTCATGTACAAAAATACGGCGATCAGGGCAATCAGGGGTGCCGTACCTTTCCAAGAGCAATTTGCTAACCAATCGCTGGCCAGAATGAGCGAAGCGCACTTTCACTATTGATCCCTCACAGGCGGAGTGCATTTGGTATCACTCCGCCTGTGACAGGAGCCGGCGCTATAGAGGAGGGTTCGGCTTATGCGGCTCTGCTCCTTATGGTGACGCCTCGCTTCCTCTAGCGCTGGCTTCGTTGGCACCGCTGATTCTCTCCCGCCTCTCCCGCGGCTCTTCAAGTTCCCCCCTTATGCCACCACCGGCCCTGGCAATGGTCACAACTAGGTCTTATTTTCGGGGTAGGTCTTATTTTCGGGGTAGATCTGGCCCTTTCACCTGGCACCCACCCCACTCCGCCTCAGCAAAGGAACCTAGAGTGACGGTGCTGAGTCAGATCAGAATGGAAATGGATGTCGCATACGGGGGTATACACGTCCATGTGAATGAGCCCCAAAGCTGAGGAAACTCCGTGACACAAACCTGTCCGTGTTTTCATTTTTGTTTTCTTTTCTAGAGTCATAGAAACAAGAGTCTAGAATGCCAAAAACAACATTTGCACCGTGTAAAGTGGCCTTTGCATAGACTAAAATGCTTCGCCGAGGCCTCCTTTAAGCCAGTACTAGTCTTTTTTTTTTTTTCATCAATAAATGTCGCCATTGTTTTCATACTCCGCATACCATGTTACTGCCGCAGCGTGCATGCTATTTACCCCAATGCAAACATTGCCGTACAGGAGCTCCCAGCATGCCTTGGCAGTAGAAGGTTCCTTCGTGCCTTTTGGCAACATCTACACATCCTGTCGATGAATTTATACTTTATAACCGGAGCATAACATCTCATTCACACCAGCGGTCCCAGATTCCCGTGGCTTCACCACGCCACAGCAGGAAGGTGGCCCTTGAAATGTCTTCAGCTCTGCAATCTGTGGCTCAGTCATGCAACTACAAGTCCCAGCATGCCTCTGAGGAAAGCATGACTGAGCAAAACGTTCTAGTTTAGCATGTTGTTCTGTGGCTCTGTTAGGACTGCAAGTACCAGCATGCCGCCCGGTAAACTGTCTCTTGCAGCAAGCTTATGCAATGTCTGGCAGCGGCCTGATTGTGATTGTCATCGATTGTTTCCTGAACGCGAGGAAATGATGATTTGCCGCATTCTGGAATCTAGAAGGAGGTTTCTGGCGCTTATGATAATTGTAAATAACACAGAAATTGGAAGAGAGAGAGAGCTAATGAGAGAGAGAGAGCGCTTATTAGAGAGAGAGAGAGAGAGCGCTAGAGAGAGAGCGCTAGAGCCAGCGCTAATGAGAGAGAGAGCGCTAATGTGAGAGAGAGAGGGAGAGAGAGAGCTAATGAGAGAGAGAGCGTTAATGAGAGAGAGCGCTAATGAGAGAAAGAGCTAATGAGAGAGCGTTAATGAGAGAGAGAGCTAATGAGAGAGAGAGCGTTAATGAGAGAGAGAGCTAATGAGAGAGAGCGTTAATGAGAGAGAGAGCTAATGAGAGAGAGCGTTAATGAGAGAGAGAGCTAATGAGAGAGAGAGTGTTAATGAGAGAGAGAGCGCTAATGAGAGAAAGAGCTAATGAGAGAGAGAGAGCTTATTAGAGAGAGAGAGCGCTAGATCGAGCGCTAATGAGAGAGAGAGAGCGTTAATGTGAGAGAGAGTTAATGAGAGAGAAAGAGAGAGCTAATGAGAGAGAGAGCTAATGACAGAGAGCGTTAATGAGAGAGAGAGGGAGAGAGAGAGCTAATGAGAGAAAAAGCTAATGAGAGAGAGCTAATGAGAGAGGGAGAGAGCTAATGAGAGAAAAAGCTAATGAGAGAGAGAGAGCTAATGAGAGAGGAAGAGCGCTTATTAGAGAGAGAGAGCACTGACGAGAGAGAGAGAGCGCTACCTGGAAAGACCTGGAAAGAAAATATTTTAGGAACATTTGTTTTTGCCTCTATTGATGCAGAATGAACGTTCACCGAGATTCACAAGGCAAATGGCTCCCAATAGACCCC